ACCCGTGAAGCGCGCGAAGTTGGACAAGAAACTTTGGCAACGATCCGCCTATGGTTTCACTTGTCGCACAGGGGTCTGTGCGTGCTCGTTGTGATCGGAAGAACCTCTACTTTCATTTGAGACGCGAACTGGCATGTCGATTTTTTTTTTAGGGCCGCAGGCCAGGCCCCCCGTCGGAAGTTAGTTTACTCAAATATGCAAGTGATGTACCGGCAGGTCCCCCCGGGCAGGCCCCTGCCCAACGGAGTTGCCTGCGGGGCGAAGAGAAGCTGGCATCTTCGTTTGGCAGTAGGGCGGACCTAAGGGAGAGCGGGGTACCATGAACATAAGGCACGATGAGCATTTTGAATTTACGCGCCGATGATGTCACCGCCCGCCACCAACCTGTAGACGTTGATAGGGGGTGTGCCAGCGGATGTTTTTATCGAAAGCGCGAAGTCGCACGGCGCGTAAGACCTTCTGTAACCTTCTTACTATGAAATACCACTGGACGCGATTTTTTAGAACACCTGAGGTTAACTCAGGTCTCTCTACACCAAAAAGTTGTCTTTTGGGGCACGATCAGCAGTTTTTTTCGGGGTGCCATGATCATGCAAACGTCAAAACGTTTCATGTTCAAATCTGGTTAGTGATTTGGATTCAGCTCGTCGAAAGGAAACAAAATTGTCTAATTCGCCGAGACGATTGGAGACAAAATGCCAGAGTTATTGACGTTCAAAGTGACACTAAGTCATTTTTGGCACTTATTGTCACTTTGAACGTCAATAACTCTGGCAGTTTGCCTCCGATCGTCTCGGCGTATAAGACACTTTCGTTTTCTTTCGACGAGCTGAATCCCAATCACCAACCAGATTTTGATTTTAACATAATTAGGTTTTGACGTTTGCGGCTGCGTGAGCTCACACGTTTCCTAGGCGCAGTCTGGAAAAGGGCCGCTTCCCACAGGATTCCCTGGCAATGACATTGTCATAAATCTCTTCGCTGAGTTTCAAATATTTTTTTTTCGGATTTTTTGGGTGTCTTTCTAGGACACAAATATGCATGATCATCCTACCCCATCAACTGATCATGGTACCCCATGGTGGGGTACCATGAACATAATGCAGGGTCCCAATATTTTATCCCCAGCTCAGAAATGGTTTGATTGAGAGGAATTATTTCCTAAGCATGTTGTATCTAAAAGACATAGCTCCCACCTGAGCCCATGATCCAGCTGCTATCTACCACTATAGGGGAGAGAAGGCCTAAGACAAAAAAAGTGATCATGGCACCCCGCTTCCCCTTAGCTCGCTTCTAGCGTTCTGAGTAGAGAAGAATGACCAAATAACTCGATTTGAATGCGACACCGTTATTCTTTCATGTGACGTCACTTTCCTTTGAATGTGAAAACTGTCACATTAGTTATAGCGCGATGTCACATTCATTTAATTCGTCCAGGCAAAGCATGGTAAATTCCAGGGATGGAAAACGAAATAAAATTAAGATTTAAAAGCTCGAATTAGACTACACTGCTTGTCAAAATTAGCGGGTGGATTATTCCAACGGACGTAGTTTCTATGTGTTTTGAGCTAGAGAGCTACTGGTATGTAGGCGTCCCAATCATTCATACACGCCAAATCGTAGCTTCCTAGCTCAAATATCATAGAAACTATACGTCTGTTGGAAAAATCCACCCGCTAATGTTGAGGAGCAGTGTATTTCTCGTCCCCCTACTACTACGGCCTGGTATGCCCTGACGGCTCGGCGCTGTGACGCAAGCAGACCAAGCCATTGTTGGGTGTTCAAAAATGACAATGTCATCATGTTTGAGCTCGGCTTGCGCATGGTTCTCAACCTCGCATTCTAACCGAGCGGCCGGGGGCTCTCCACTCACCCTCCCTTGGCCTCGCGGGTTACCTGAAAGTATAGGCAACATGCGCCCAAACGATTCACAAAACTTGATCCCGGCCGTCAGGCAGAACTTAAGATAGCGCCATTAAACCGTAATGAAATGATATTAACTCTTGGTCGTAATGTAATAGAATTCATGTTTATAAGTGAAATTGTACTCTGCTCGATTTCATTCCGAAATAAGCTATATTCTAACATTCATATCATTCCACGAAATAGTATTGTGTTGAATATGATTTCATTTCGGAGTTACATTGATAATTTAACTTAATTACATTGAAGTGAAATTAAATAGAGGTGTCTGTCGAATTGAGTCGGTCTCATTTGTCAAAAACGCTTGGAAAATCCGAAAAGTCTGGGAAAAATTTGGCACCTGGGGACGGTTTCGAAACTGGTGCATCCGGCATTTTTCCACTAAATATTTATTGGCATTAAGATTGTATAAATTTTTCGTTGCCTTCACTGCGTTTTAATGGGGAAACGTATTGGAGCTACGTAACATTCCTTTTTCCTCCATTAATCCCTTTTTTATGCATTTTCGCCTTACAGAATGGCTGGGGGGTGCTGTCTAGGGGCACTCCCGAATCGCTTAACTGTGACAAACTCAGCGGCAGCAATGATATTAAAGAAAAAACCAGCCTCCTTACCTCAGGACGTTTGAAGAACGTATGTATAATCTAATGTATTACACCTACAGTATCACTGCTTAGCTCTTATGGAAAAGGTTGTTTCAAATATGCGTAGAATAGAATTACTGTTCATGTATATTTTTGTTATAATCAAGTGCAATTACAAAGACGGGTTTTTTTGCCGCATACCAATCAGGTGGCATTAGCAGACGATTAAAACTTTTGACATGAAAGACTGTTAAATTGCAAGGCTGCCACTAAAGGTTTTCTTCATTCAAACCAAAATTTTTACTCATTAAAATTGTCTATAGTTTGGTGCGTAAAAAAACGTTGCAGAAATTGACACAAATATCCACCTAAAAGAGGGACAACTTACGTTTTGAGCATTTTTCACCCTCTAATGACACAAATTCTTTCCAAACAGGGCACAATTTTTTCTAAATACTGCTAGGGACAAAAGTTTTGTCTTTTTGGTTATGGACAATGATAAGTTCCTTCCCATTTGGACTGTACCTGTACGTCTAGACAATATCCTTCGTAGCTTGCTGCTGGCAGTTCCGTAAGGAATTGAGCGTGCACCACCCGCATTGAATCAACGCGCTTTTTTCCCTGTTTGTGGTTTTGGCAGACGAAGGAGCAAGTACCACTTTCTTTTGACTGTGTACTTACACTTTGTTTGACCCCCAGGTGCGCGCCCTGCTGTCGCTGCGCTGCACATCGCCAGGCTGGAGCAGGCAGGTGCTCCAGCAGGCCGCTGCCGACCTTGAGGACCTCGTGCTGGTGAACCCCGAGCAGCAGCACCTAGACGTGGTCCAGGACATGCCGCGCCTGCGCAAGCTCGTGCTGATGGGCGCGGGCAAGCTGGTCGCGCCGCTGCCGCCGGGCCTCGAGGAACTTTACCTGCAGGTTAGCACTTAGAAGTACTTGCAAACCAAATTCTTTGCAACGTTGCGAAGAACTTTCGATCTTTGTTTTGCGAAGAATTCGTTCATATTTCAAAGAAATTCTTCGCCACTTCACAAAATATTTCTTCGCATTGCACAGAAATAGTTCTTAAGCTTGCGAAGAATTAGTTTATAATACAATTCTTCAAAATTCTTTGCGAGCTGCGCGGAAAATAGTTTGCAATACGAACATATTTTTCGCAAGCATTTTGCAGTGGGTGTCGCTTGAAGGCTCATTATCTAGAGGTTAAATTGCGAGAAATTGCCATTAATCTGTCCTGAAACTGAAATTACTGACCAAAAACGCGGAATAACTATAAATTATCGTTTGATTTCAATGATTTTGTCATTTTGAGTTCAATAGTGATTGGTCTGCATTGCAAAGAAATTGCTTGCGAAGAACTACTTCATTATCTTGCGAAGAATTCATCGCAGCTTGCAAAGAAAATAATTTGTAATGCAAAGAAAATAGTTTGGAACTGCAAACATTCTTACCAGTCTTCAAAATTCTTCGCAAGAATTTTACAGTGCACATTTCCTTGCCATGGTTTTCCAGACCGTGAACCGCGACCAGCTTCTCGTGGTGGCAAAGTTGCCGGCGCTGCGGCGCCTGGAGGTAGGCTGCCACTTCAGCGACCCTGTCCCGGAGGTGCCCTTCCCCCGCGCCTTGCCGCCGGCTGGCCTGCGCTGGCTGCGGTGCGGCCTGTACCCGCTGAGGACGGCGCTCAGGCTCATGCGGGCGCACCGGGCCACACTAGAGGTACAATTTCTCTTTCTTTTACAAAGAAATTGCTTTGAAAAATGGTTTTCTTTTTGAAAGCAAACCTGGGCTGTCGCAATGAAGAGAGATTCTTCTCGTAAATCAAAACTTGACCTTAGTACAACATTTCAAATTTCTTGTTCTACGAAACATTATAATCCTACTAAATCTGGCAAGATTTTTGGAATATGTAAAGGGCAAAACTGTTTTGCAACACAAAGGTCGAGTTTTTTTAAGTACAAAAGAAATATCTTTAAACAGTTCTCTTTTTATTGCAAAGAAAGCAGCCACTGTACAATAAAAACGCTCAGTATAGATTTAAGAGTGTAAGTGTAAAGCGTTTGGCTGCTCTGCAATAAATGATAAAGGAACGATTATACGGTGAAGTGCTTGTCATTAGTGTCATATGCACATTTTTTTAGCCTTTAATTCTCTAGTCTGTCATGCGAAATTCGCGAAAATATTGTGAAATCCACGCAAATCTTCAACCATCAATTTAAGGTGCCCCCACCCCACACTAAATCTGAAAGGACTTTTATGGTCCATAGACAGACGCGTTTTTTTGTATTTCAACCGGATGCAGATTGGAATCTAGCAAGTGAGGAAATTGCATCTTAAGAACGACAAAAAAAAAAAAGTTATCCTGAAAAAGGATGCTTATTTGTCACTTGCTGGGTTTAGATCAGCATCTGGTAAAGATGTACACAAAAACGCGTCTATTCCTATGGACAATAAAATTCTTTTCAGATTTAGTGTGTTGAGCTCAGAATAGTTTAAGATCGTCGTTCTCACTCTATCGGCACGTAGTAGGCCCGGTCATCGAGGGGTCATAATCAATTTCGCAAGTTCGACATACGGGAAAGTGATGCCCGTCCTACCCCAAAAAATGCAAAAATTGTAAAAAAATTCTCGGACTGACTGTAAGGGTCCCTACAGAGCCGTTTTTACTCAGCTTAGGCAACCCACATTACACAGTCACTTTTCCTCTATTTCCACGCATATAATCGAGGTCTTAGAGTTTTTTTCGGGTGCAGTAAATGGGGATCACCTCGGCGAGTCATGAGGAAAGCATTGCGAGCTGTGATCGTACTGATTCCGCTCAAACTAGGCCCCCCTGAGGAAACAAATTCACATATTTCAGCAAAATACCTGAAAAACGCTGAAAAATGTATAAATTACGCATCTAAGAGTCATAATGGAAAGGAATTTAGTCCAAATCATACCCATCACCCCCACCTCTCACCTCTTCTTGCGTTACCCTCCCCACCCCTCCCACCCACGCGATTAAAGTAGGTGCGACAAAGACTGCTTAAAAGAACATTCTTCATTGATCAGCGCGACGAGTTGCAGCTCTTTGCTCACACAGAATGTAACGTAAAGGCATCACTGATTTGCAAACCAGGACTTACGACGAGGACTTGGCTGCACGACGAGTACCCTCCCCCCGCCCGCACCCCACACCCTTCTCCCACATTCACCCATGGACCCTTTTACTGCTTAACTGGTTCCTCTTGTCCTCTCTTGGACCTGAACTCGGGTACAAGCTTACTTGGAGGTGCTCCTCAGTCCGAAACAATACGTACAATACAACAAAATTCATCTTACAGCAAAAATAATGAAACTAACTTTTAACTACATATAATGCAAGACTATACCATTAGATTTTTGATTATAAACGAAAAGTGCGAGCTCATACAGAAATATAAATGCAGACAGACACCGATACTTGATTCAGTCTGCAATCACAAGTTATTGACCAAATTTAACTTTAAAAGGGGACTTAAACAAAATTTGGATTCGAAGTTCGCCTTCACGGAAAAAAAAAGGTTTGCCGTAGCGACCAGAACCGCTTCGTTGAGTGCAACTTGGTTGCTTGTATCGGGCATGTTGATTCTGACTAACAGTTGAGCAGCTCGTCCTAGTACAACTCGCTTGGTAGACCATGGCTGATTCCTACAACTAAGTCAGCTTGCACAGAGAAGTTGGTTGCTAAAACCGAAATGAGTCGATCATCACCAGAAGCCAGATTTGCCGAAGTGGCGCGTTCCACCTCCCCCCTCCTAGTCGCCGCTGTGGCGCAGTGGTCTCCGTGCCTGGCGGCTGGATAGTAAGCGGAGGTTCGACTCCGGTCGGCGCCCAACCAGTTTCTCCTTGCACGGTGTCTTCTGACACTGTACTTAGTTAACTCAAAGCAGGGAGATGGACCGTAGATGAATGAAAGGCTACGGGAAAGGGAGATCACAGATATATTTTTTGTTATTGTTCCTACATTTGTTCTATCGACAGCTTGATCACTGTAACCAACTTTCTGGTCCCTGCGACCATACGCTCCGGGTTATCACGCTCAAGCATTAATCTCGTGAAAGTTCTCACGACCAGCTAAAAGATGGTCCCGGCGACCGTATTTCTGATCCTCAGAATCAACTTTCCGCTTTTCGCAACTAAGTAGTGACTACGAAGCAGTTTGGTTCTTACAATCAGAAAGTCGATCGTCCCACAAGCTACTAGAATTTCTGGTCGTAGTAATCAACTTCTGATTACGACAACTAACTATTTTTTTCCGTGTTGGGAATAGTCGAATAAGAGGACCTCTGCCCAACTGGGTCTGTTAGTGGACGCAATTCGGACTCGTCCGTACCTCATGACCGTACCAGGACTGTTATCGGGTTTAGTCCGATGCGCATCGGTCTAAAATCGGGCGAGGCAGGATTCTGGAACACCGTCCGGACAAGCCCGATGTTTGTCGGTCCGATAGAGAACTGAAACCGGGCTAGTCCGAACGGCGATCGGACTAACCGCGGAACAGTCCGAGGCTTGACGGACTGTTTCGGAACAAAAAGGGAACAAGATACGGAACTTTTCATTTTTAAACGCTTAGGGACCCTTAAAGTCTATCCGAGAATTTTTTTACAATCTTTGCACTGTTTTGGGTAGGAGGGGCATCTTTTTCCCGTATGTCGAACTTGAAAAAAGTGACCATGACCCCTCGATGACCGGGCCTAGCACGTAGCCTCGGGAACGAATGAGAACATTCCCGGCCACCTTGGGGGCACGTCCTCTCTTCGGATAATTTATCAGTCTATGAATACATTATTCTATCCACCTTTCTTATATGTTCCTTTTGTCTGCAGGTTGTGGAATTAGTAGCTGCATCGCGAGAGCCTTACGGCTGCCCGGACCTGGCGACCGAGCTCGGCCGCTGCCGGCTGCGACGCCTCAAGAGGCTCATTTTCTTACGGGAGACGGGTAAAAAATTCTGCAAGCATGATGCATTGGATTGCAGTAAACAAAAATTTCAGGTTCGTATTTATTTGTTTTATAGCGTCACCCAAATTTCCTGAAAACTTGTTCTGTCTTCTGACCGTCAGAAAACAGCTCTGCACACTTCATTTTTGAGTACACTACACACTCTAAATGGGAAGGAACTATTTTAATGTCCAGTAATAATGGGATAAACCGCTTCTCCATATGAAAAGTGACACAAAATTGTGCCGGATGTCCTCACGTATTGTGTCATCAAAGGGTGCAAAATGTTTAAAAAACAAATTGTTCCCTCCTTTTGTTCATATTTGTGTCAATTTCTGCAACGGTTTTACACGTATTTAACTGTAGACAATTTTTTGTCCGCGTAATTAGAAACAACACGAAACAAGCAGGCCCGCCCTTCCGCCAAACGAAGTTGCCAGCTCCGCTTCGCTCCGCCGGCAACTCCGTTCGGCAGGGGCCGGGCCTGCTTGGCCTGCCGGCTGCGATGGTCGGGCCTGCGGCCCGACCATTTCTGTCACACGATTTGCTGAAGATCATGATCGAATGATGTAGCGGGCCTTCGGCCCGCTTAAACCCGTCGTCTTTGAGTTTGCCCCGTAGACACGAGACAGGGATGTAACGGTGAAGTACCGCGACTATAACCCACCCTTCTGCTTAGAAAACGTTTTTGGGGGGTGGGGGGAGAGTTTCTTTCCTATTTTGCGGTTTTAGGCCTTTTCCTACAACTTATTGTTCACTTTGGCAATTTTTAGCTTATTTTCGTCAAAAAAGACCCTCTAGCGCCTAAACGGTTAGAGAAAGAGCAAAACGGACGAAATTTTCGCCCAAAGGGCTCTTCTTTGACGAGTTAGCCCTTAGGAGAACATAAGAAGAAAATACTTTTTGGAAGAATTTTTGAACCTTTGATACCCCCATTCACACCCTTAGGGGTGGTTGCCAGGATTTGCCGTAGGCGTTTCGTTCTCTAGAAGTGGACCTTAAGATACCCTGAAAATTTCAAGTCTCTAGCACATCTCCTTCTAGTGGAACAGACAGACACACAGACACGAGGTCGTTTGCATAAGCCCGCTGGATAGCTTTTTCAAAGCAGAAGGGCGGGCTAAAAAAGAAGATTAGCTAAATTAGCTTATGCATTCGCTAATGTGGCCTTAGATTAGAATACAGTATTAGCTCTCCTAGCTAATTCTTAGCTAGGAAAGCTAAAAAATTAGCCATGACAGTTGCTTACAAAATAAAGCAACTAAAACTATTAGCTTTCATAGCTAGGAATTAGCTAGGAAAGCTAATGTTCTAATCGAAGGCCATATAAGCGAATGCATTTGCTAATTTAGCTAATCCTTTTTTTTCGTTAAATTTGTGTGATCTGTAGGACAAAGTTTTAGAAAACTTTAAATCGTCTGTCCCCTCTAATGACACAAATTTGTCTGAGGCTAGATGAGCTTAAAACGTTTTGACACGAAATATGTTCCCTCCCATTTAGATTCCTCCCAACAAACAAAGTTGCCAAGTCGTAATTTTCAGCTAAGTGCCTCTTTAAAGGCGTTTAAAAGCCCTGGTGCTAATCATTAGGGCTTTCGGCCATTCGGGGGCTATTCGGGGAGTGAGATATTTTCTGATAACGAAGAACAGGAGGAATCCAGTTTGGCGGCCGGCTGAAGGCTGCTTCAGGACCTTAACATAACTTAAGTCGTTGGCGTACCGACACGATTTCTCGTGTATAGGGTTTTTGAGGTTCTGCCCTTCAAACACGGAAAAAAAGATATTGCTTGTACAACGTAATTTTTCGCTAATATGGACGTAACAAAATAGAGTTCGAACGGACTACGCATGCTGAGTATAGGATCAATTGAGAATCTCCGGTGTCGCAACTAATTCTTCTGTTGCTCGAACTGATCAAGTTTGTTCTGAAAGCAAAACTTTCAGTTAGCGAAATCGGCCGTGCCTCCACTCTCATACCTGTACTGATTTATTTAGTAGCTTCTAAAGGCTTTGATGCAGCAGGATTGCTGACTAATTTGTTACTTATTCTGTGTATCGTTGTAAGTAGCTCACTGGTAAAAGAAAAAATTGTCAGTAATTAGATGATAATGAGCTGGATACGGGACTGCTAATAGCTGTAGTAGCCAATACAAGTGGGCAGCTGCAGGTTGTCATTTAACCGCCATCGTGGCCTATGTAGATTTCCTGTCGTAGCTAATTCACGTGCAGTGGAAGTTCGAAAAGAAGCCGGTCGAACCTATTAACAGAGGCATGGCAAAGGCGCGACGACACTTTTTATTTTGTTTGGAGCACGAACCGTCCCCCACGGGCCCCATAGTGACGACGAACGAGATAGACGAAAGAAGCGCACTACAAGTAAAGGAGTGACATTTTTCGCTCCCAGGAGAGCGATATCAGTGAAGCCAATTTGACGACTCTTGGGAGAGCGATATTAACAATTACATCGCTCTTTTGCAATAACTTTTCGCGACATTTCTGGTTACGAATAAGACTTATTTTGAGTCATTTTCGCAAACGTCGCTCGTTTAGGGTCGTCTCTGCGACATTTTCTGTTACGAAGAAGACACATGTTGAGTCATTTCGCGAAAATCGCTCTAACAGAGCGATGGCACCTATACGTCGCTCTATTCGGGAAAGAAAGGTCACTCCTCGTTTTACAGTGGCGGGCGTGCCTCGAATCCAAACCAGCAGGCCAGCTGGCGTGGCTAGAGCGGCGCCTCAGCCCGCTCGGCCACCGCTCGGCCACCGCTCGCCTTGTCGGCGGTCAGTTTGGATCGTGCACTCATTCCATTGAAGAGCGGGACGATCCAGACACCGCCATTATTGTCGTCCACACATAACAAAATCACTTCTGGACGCTAAAATGAGTGCCGCTCCAGCTAACCCAAGAAACGACATAACGCCCTTATATATACCCGCTAAGAGAAAATAGACGTCTATTGGATGTTTAATAGACATCTACTGCTAGACGGCAAGTTGTCCAAAAGACGTCTTCGGTGACCTCTGCAGTCTGCAGGTGTTTTTTTACAAGTGAGCGCTTGAGTACAAATTATCTCAAGGTGATCAACAATTTCATATCCTGCTGCGTTAAAAATCCTAAAGCTTGAACGTCTAAGGCCAAAAATGGGTTAGATTGGAGTTAGATCGTCTCGGCACGTCTACACGTTGTCTATCGCTAGACGTCTAAGTTTGTAGATGGGATGGATCAGAGTTAGATCATCTCGACACGTCTACACTGTGTCTAGGGCTAGACGTCCAAGGTCGTAGATGGAGAACATAGGGAATAGATCATCTTTTTTACGAGGAATGTTGTAATTTATTGACACAGCTGTGAAATAATGTTGGCACTGTAAAATTACAGCAGGGTTGTAAAGTTATTCTGATTTTTACAAATCCTCAGGTTATCGTGGGTAACTGCTTTGCAAAGTGAAGTCCGGGCTTAAATTTGTAGACAGAATCCAAAAAAACGTCCTCAAATGAGGAAAAAACTCACAATAAATGCATGAGGAACACCCACAGTATCATACTGAAACGAAAAAAAAAATCATCATCTCCGAAATACTAATATGACGGATTTTACAACCGATTTTGTAGTCTGACAGCTACTCTGTAATTTTACAGCGCTACCTTGAAAACGTAAAACAGTGTCAATGTTTTTGGGGTTGTATGGCATTTGTTGTAATTTTACAACTGCGCTGTAGAAATAGTTTTACGACAACACCTGCTCCCAAAATTAGCTGAACATTTCCTGTAAAATTACAGAATTTTTTTAACAGTGCAGTTCTGTTTGAGTTCTGTACGTAACGATAAATTTTTGGACGACGGGAGCCGAATAAAGACCCTATTCTAACAAGAGGTCCGACACTGACTCTGGCATGGAGCGACCGAACAATAAAATGGCACACGAATACAGTGATAACCATGCTGGTTAAATTAATTTCCTTACCATATCTAATATAGGCTACCGTTTCGAGCGAAAAAAAGGAGATTCAACGGGCACTGAATCGCGGCATTCTAGTCCAGGGGTCGCAAACTCGAGCTATCCGCCGAGCCTCGCCTGCATAGGTCACACGCATTGCGAGCTCTTCGGCAAAAAGAGTGAGAGAGATAGATGTAGTGGTGCCTCAGCGACTGACCCGTGCCCGGCCGCACTGCTGTCACCGCCAGCTAGCTTCGCTGTGCGCTCGGTCGTCGGCCAGTGTGTCTGTCTTTGTCACTCCCAATGGCACCTCAATGAGTGCGACAAAGACAGACACACACACTGGGCCAGCGAGCGAGCGGCGTGTGTCCAGCGACAGACGACGACGGCTGGGTCCAGCTCGGCTCCGAGCCACCCGAGCGCGGCTCTCGGCGACCTCGGGTCCACCCGAACGCAAGAGGTGCGCGGCTCTCGGCGAGCCGCGCTACCGGGCTAGGCGAGCCGCGCTTGGCTCGGGAGCCGCGAGTTTGCGACCCCTGTTCTAGTCCCTCGCAACCGCAGCTCACTCCGGGAGGAGAAAACACAAGTTTATTTTTAATGATAATTAAAAAAAATTAGGCCATAGCACTAATTTCTGCTTTATTCGAACGAAACAGGGATTTGTTCGTACAATAAAAGGCAAACAGTCACAGTATAGTTGCGACCGGCTCCTTCGGCAGCGAGCCAATTTCGTTGGTGCAACAAAAACCTAGCACGTGACACTATGACGGCTGTTTTAGTATTATTAGGAACGAAAACTGGCCGTCTGTATAACACAAGAGGTATAGCTCCTCCAAATAAAACGTTAGTGAGCAGAAAATAAAATTGTTATGTCTATTTTAACCAAACCGTTTGTTACGGTAACAAATTTTCCGTTGGAAGGGCAATATCTTTTGATCCGTGTAGGGCACTTAGGACTATTTCTCAATATTGGCGGAGATACGCGATAAACCGTGCGGATAGTGCTGGCTTTGTGATGGTACGGAAGCAAACGTTGGCCACCATCCATAGTGGATCCTTCTGTTCTTATTCGGAAAATACGTCATTCAGTTTGCAGCGTAGATTAATCGGCGTTCACCATGAAAAATTTGATCGATTTCTGACAAGGAACGGGTCTTAAAACGGGTCTTACATTCCTTAACCCGGAGTTTTGCATGCCTTCTCACATAACAGGAAACTGCACTTTTTTCAGGTATGGGACGTTTTGATGACGTTGGGCATCCTGACCGTTGTCGAGTGCAGCCTCTGCGACTAAACGACGGCTGCAGCTTTTTTTCATTCTTAAAACTGTTCGCGAAATCGTCAGAAAGCATTCTTATTATTGTTTGATTTTATTTTTAATGCTACGGAGCATTCCCACTTTAACTTGTCATTCATTGGACGTGTGTACTGTGTTGTTACAGTAATATAGTATTGTAGACAAACGTCACCTGTTTTTTTCTTGTCCACAACCCCTTCTTTTTCACGTCCGTAACGGCAGCCTGGAGCCGCTCTTCCTTTGTGCCTTTCGGTGGCTGCGGCAGCACTCCATGTGACGGCTCTGCCATTGCTAACCTATAAAGAAACAATAGTTATTAAACGCCGTGTGATTAGGCTACCCATCGGACGCCCCCCCCCCCCCCCCCCCGCCTCCCAGGTGGGACGATGGACGATGCGTGCCAACTGAAGTGGCACTCGCTCGCCGCTCGCCACCGCCCACCTCCCGGCCGTCTGGTGGGCCAGCGGCCGGACGGCCGGGCGGCTGCGGCGGTGCAACGCAACTCTGCCCCCCCCCCCCCCCCCCCCCTTGTTTGTTGGCACTTTTCTCAGGCAACCAGGGTACATTCCCAGGGAAATGCTCTACACAAATGAAGCACTGAACACAAACTCTATCGTTCGGCACACGATTGACACCTGGTGCTTGATGCAGACACGTTTATGACGTAATTATGGTGTATCACGCACAAGAAAATAAAGAACACACGATATCAACAGCATTTCACGTTGAAATACGGCCCTGTAGTTGTCCGAAAAAGCCAATATGAAGTGAGCACACACCCAAAATAAAGAGAGTGTCGACTACTGGAACAGATGTCTTTTTCTGGCCCAGTAGTGGACACCGTTATTTACGCCCCTGACCGAAATTTTCGGAAAGCTCAATGGGGACAGATAATACATACCTTTGACATCAACGCGGAATCGCTCGGATGAAAGGCGGCTTCACAGAACGTTTCGAACAAACACCTGTCCACTACTACGGAGCTAAGAAATGATGACTCGGTGTGACGCGACAAGCAGCGTTCTGCGCGAAGCGCTCCCCACCGGCTCCCGGAGGTCGCACAGACTCGGTGCCGGCTGCATACTAATCTCAATAGAGAGCGCTACAACCCGGCAAAACGCGCGAGACCCTAACTTTAACCAATTCGCGGGAAATCGAACGCAAAGTTGAAAGTGTCGACTACTGGTGTACTGTCGACTACTGGGCCCCTTATCCTACAATATATTTAATTCAAAATGTTTCTAAATTTGTAAATTGCCTTTCGTAAATTCCTACAGGTATTTTTGACATTTTGTGACTTGCGGGTTGCCTACCTACGCTGATAGAGGTTCAAAATTGTCACACGACCAAAGCGGAAGTCAACGCTTTCCACACAGAGCAACAATGGCAATGTTCAACCAATGTCCATCAAAGCCCTCGAAAACTGACACAGGGGTCAAAATGACCTCTTCGGTAGAGCGAGGAATATGTAATAATATCTCCTAAAGTTTTTGACGCATATGCCTTGGTTTTTCGTGTCAAAGCGTATTTTGGTGACCCATGAAAAGTCAAAAAGTGGCGGGTCGGTAGAAAAAAATTTTGATAGTTCATTTGGCAGCTCAAAATTGAAAGGGGTCCTTTGGGCCCCTCTGGTAGTTGTAGTGTGTTAAATGCTTTAGGCAAAGTTAGTAAATGAGCAGAATTTCTGGTTAGTAGGATGATGTCATACTCATGGGAAACATCAGAAGTATGCAGGAATTTCTGTATATTGAACTGGTCAGATATCAGAATGAAATGAAAATCTAAATACCTTATAACTTATGGACCTTGTGTAATATTCGTGTATCCTTCCCAAATTTTGAGGACTGTCTAATTTTACTGAACTACCAAAAAGGTATACATCAAATATGAGTCACGATTTTGTCACATCAAATCTTTCTTACATAAGATTTGTATTATCAGCAGCTGATTTGTTGATTGATTCAAATGCCTTGCTTGTAGTATCCTTAAATATCTAGTATGTAAGTAATTGCTTTAGATGTCTTTTCATTTTAAGACAAATGTTCGCTCAGAGATGGAAAAAACTGGAGAATGTTTAATCTGGTTCCTAAATCTAGTACATTAGTCATTTTGTTAATTTTTTTCTGTTTATCAAACAAAATGAAAATGTTCCAGCTGAATTGTACAAAAGATCCTAAAATATTACGGAGAAGTCTTCTCTTCCACAGAAATAAATCATTTGACTCAATTTTTATGAATTTCCAAATATCCCAGTCACCCCGGCAACTCAGACCAAATTTGCTTGTACCAGTGCTTCAACGGTAAAGTTTCAGATGTCTGCTTGATTATTTCTTCTTGAATGTATTGTGGTTCGGTGATCAATTAGGGCAGACTGCTGTCTTCTCAAAATGGATAAAGGAGAACAATAATTTATCATTCCAAGATTTTATTAAGAACAAATTACATAAAACAAAGTTGACGACATCAGAGACCTTAGCTGGTTCACATTCTCTTGTCAGGATCCACAACAGGGCATTAGATGATCAAAGATAAAAAAGTAGAAAAAGGTCGACTGTAAGGTGCTAGATAATGCTGATCCAGGGTTCTCATTAGAGGAATTAGAATATTGACAACAAATTGCATTAAACAAAGTTCACAATAAGACAATATCAGAGCGCTTAGCTGGTTCTTTACAAGAGGTGACCCCACATTTCTTCCTTGCTATGATCCCCTGCATTATGCAGGTGTTACAGAAAATATGTTCGCATGTCCTTAGCTTTGAATTGGCTTCAGGGCGCCTACATAGCCTACATAGGAGAGTGTGGTGCTTGTAGGGCCTGTCTAGGAGCAAATAAGTTCACTTGGGGCATCTTCTCCAACAACAGCCTGTCCACCAGAAGCCTGCCCTGCAGCGGAGGCCTGTCCACTTGGGGCCTGTCCCGCAGCAAAAGGCTGTCCACTTGGGGCCTGTCCTGCAGCAAAAGGCTGTCCACTTGAGGCCTGTCCCGCAGCAAAAGGCTGTCCATCAGAGGGCTGACCATCAGAGGGCTGTCCCGCAGTGGGGGCCTGTTCAGCATGGTCTGAAACAAACATACACAGTTTCAATGAGAAATTAAAAACCTAGTTGTAAAAATGTTTTCACAGCAGCTAGTAATCCCAGATGATTTATTCTGATTGAATTTAAAGTGATAACAATATGATAAGATTAGCTTTCACTTTTCCAGAAAGTTCAGGGCAAGCAGTAAGGGAAATAATGAGTTTTAATGAATGGCTTGTTTCACAAAAGCTGGCCTAGGGCAAATATATAGGCCCAATTGATTGGCAAAACATCAACTAGTGCTTCATATTTGCAGTTTGAGAACTTTAACGTAAAAATAAGAACTTTCTGCTCACCAGGGAAATTGAAATGTACATGACAGTGTACTCTGCGACCATCTGGATGAAGTCTCAAGTCCATTATCCTGTTCTGAAACGCGATGCTGGTGCCAGCTGTACCGCCATTCCCTACAGCATCAACAAAACAAAAAGCCAATATAAAAGTCGTCATCAGTCAGATACTTTGAATTGAAGGACACTGCACCTGCGAAGGGTACCAAGTTCAACAAAAGCAGGGTAATTGCTTAAGGAACTTACCGTAAACAGCCACAGGGTGTAGGAAAACCATCACAGGTGGCAGACGCATAAATCATCGCACACAGATGGTCGTGAACAGCGTCAGAGGGTAGAATATTATTGTGGCGCTGGTTCATTTAACCTTCAGTTCATTTGTCCGTGACGGACAAGAAAAACCTCCGCTGGAGGCACCCATAACCACAGCCGCTAATTCAGGCTTTTCCGCCGTCAGCAGAGGGAAAGTAGGTCAGCGCTGGTACACGTTTCTGCCAGCAGCACAGGCAGAACGGGTTCGGAGGTTTTTCCCATAGATAGGCCCAAAAAACCACCGAAAACCCCAAAAACCACCTGCGTGGTTAACAGTGCTCTCAGATGGCTTGTTAGTGATTGGATTTTTAAATTGAATTGATTTGGGCTCCAGGCCAGCAAAATTAAAGTATAGATGGTTTTAAACTTGAAAGGATTGATGCCAGCCATCAATGGAGCATTTTGAGCTTCTTGAGCATACGAGGAGTCGCTGACAACACTATGCAAGGTTGTGAACCAGTCGAAGGAAGAAAGAACACTCATACAGACATCAAGGTTAAACCACAGACTAAACGTGGCAAAACAAAACCCTACACATGTCGACACTTCAATTAACACATGGATCCACAAGAACACCATACACAAGGTAACAAGCAGGCCCGCCCTTCCGCC